TATACTAAGGTTGACATTTAGTACAGTTGTATCATTGGTCAATCTCCAGGTGTATTGGACGACATTTATCTCAAATAGTAGATAAATGGGGGGGAGAGTGTTGGAGATTGTCAATATTTAATATTTAACAGTTTATGGCATACCTGAAGTTAATTAATGCGAAAGTGTCAATCAAAAAGCATGCGGTTTGTACATTGCAAGAATTTGTGTGATTGTGTTGAGACGGGGCGAGAATAAATATATTTTTCATAAAAGCGTTTGAAATCTCTACTTTTAGTGAGTTGTTGTGAATATAGGAGGCAATTCACGACATGGTGTGCTGATGTCCATTGCCAGGTGGCGTTTGATTTGGTGAGTTGGCGTAGAGGTTCAGTTATGGTTGAATAGTTGGGGATGAAACGTGAACAATAATTCGCCATCCCGAGTAGGCTTCTCACTTCGGTTGGATTCTGTGGAGCACTGATTTGTTGGAAGGCTTCGACTTTCTTTGGATCTAGAGACACACCGTCTTTAGAAAAGATATAACCATAAAATTCTACGGATGGCTTGTTGTATTCACATTTAGTCGGGTTGAGGGTTAAGTTCATTTCTTGCATGCAGGCGTTGGAGGACTGCTTCCACAGCATGGTTATGTGACTCCTGATCGCCGTCATATATGATAATATCATCACTTATGTTTCGTGCTTCTGGTATGCCCTCGAGGATTTGCTGTATGGTTGCTTGAAACACTTCCGCTGCTGAGCTAACTCCAAAAGGCAATCTTGTGTAGCGTCGCAGACCTTTGTGTGTAGAAAATGTTGTTATGTACCGTGATTCAGGCGCAAGTTCTAGCTGGTGGTAGCCTTGGTTTAGATCAAGCTTGGAGAAAACAGTTGCTCCATTTAAGTCGTTAATAAGGTCATCGATAGTGGGTGTGATGCGTCGTTCTCTCTTTATCGCTTTGTTGGCAACGCGCATGTCAACACAGAGGCGTACCTTTTCTGGATTTTTTGGCTTGGGTACCACAACTAGTGGAGACACCCATGGGGTTGGACCATGTACTTTTTGTATTATGCCTTCATGTTCTAATCGTATTAATTCTTGTTCAAGTCCCTTTCGAAGATGGAACGGGATTCTTCGGTGTGGTTGGGCACTAGGTGTAACAGTTTCATTGATATGAAGATGAACTTGACAGTCTTTTAATTTTCCAACTCCATGATATCTATCATTAATCTTTAATCTTTAATAAAATTTCTTTTAACACGGTAGCTTTTCGTACAGAGGAGCAGCGTATTGGAACAACATCCCAGTAAACTTGTTGAAAACCCTAAGAGAATCAACAAGTTTAAAATCTGTCCATCATCTATTAAATAATTACATCTTGTAAATAAGTAAATAAGTAGATAAGTATATTTTGTAAATAAGTATAATTTAGTTTATTAGTTCCTTCTTTTATAATGCATTTATTTTCCGCACGGCCCTTTGAAAATCACCTATGTGAAAGATTACCGTGTTTAAAGATCAGTAATAATAATAATAATAATAATAGCCTATTCAGTATAATATATAGAGTCTGTTTTTCAAAGGGCCGTGCTATATAGTATTAAACACACATTAACTATGGATATTTACAGTTAATTACAGCACATAATTATTACACACTCCATTAATTTCGGAAATACATTATACATTATTCATGTGCAAGCTTCAGGGTTAAACGCCGTTTGAAATCGGGTTAAGATAAATCCTGAATGTTATCAGTTACTTCATCCGATAATTCGTTCCACCCTTGTGCTGCTCTATAAGAGAAACTTCTTTTAAGAAAGTTATTTCTTGGTTTAGGCAAAGATAATTTAACATTATTGCTTCTTAGAGAATAATTACTATTTTCGCATCTCGTGAAGAAATTCTGCACATAATCAGGTAGTCTGTTAGTTAAAGCTTTAAACGTCATAATGATTTCTCTTTTCTTTAAAATGTCTTCAATTGGCATCCAATTGAGACTTTCTAGTATTTGAGTGGAACGAACATCGTATGATTGTCCTGTGATAACCCGAGCTGCTCTTCTTTGTAACTTAGAGAGTTTGTTAAGAATGGTATTAGACCCATCATTCCATATTGTTGAGCGATATGTCAGGTGAGGAGATACTAGAGCATTATACATTTTGATTAGAATGTGTAAAGGAACAAAGGACTTGGCTCTTCTTAGTAATGCAATATTTTTTGAGATTTTTTTACTTTGTGCGTCAATGTGTATACCCCACTTTAATTGATCGTCGATAATAAAACCAAGGGTTTTTTGTTGGTGACCCGTTTAATATTATTATCTCGTATGGCTAATGAAATCTCTGGGTTGTCTTCAAATTTAGTAAGATGATGTCTAGAGCCAATTATCATAAATTCCGTTTTGCTATCGTTTAGCGTGAGTTTGTTACATCTAAGCCAACTATGAACATTCTTCAAGATCCATCTAAGCCGGCACACGAAAGATTTGTGTCATCAGCAAACAAGTTGGCCTTGGTTGTTTCTAGACACTTAGGTAGATCGTTAATATACAAGAGGAATAGGATGGGGCCAAGGTTAGAACCTTGTGGTACCCCACACCTAATTTCTTTAGCATGTGATTTTTTCCCATTCATTAAACAAATCGATTTTCTATTTTGGATGTAAGATTCAAACCATGCGTAAGTAGTTCCTTTTATGCCGTATAGGTGAAGTTTCTTTAATAAGATTTCATGGTCGACAGTGTCAAAAGCTTTTTTCAAGTCCAGGAACAGGACTCCATTGATTAAGCCACTGTCCATGTTATATAACCACTCATTTGTCGAACCTAAGAGTGCCGTCTCAGTACGTAGAGTGTTGTGAACGAAAACCGGACTGTTGCTCTACAAGAATGCTATTGTCGGCAATAAACGTTCTCAATTGATTGTACACTAGCCCTTCAAACAGCTTAGCAACCACAGAAATTACAGAGATTGGTCTATAATTTCCGCAATCAGTTTTATTCCCTTCTTTAAAGACTGGTGATACCTTGGCGATTTTCCACTCGTCCGGAAAAATTGCAGAGAAGAGAAAAGAGAAGATAGAAGAAGAAGAAGAGATAGATTAAAGATGTTGGCTAATGGTTGCACGATAACATCGCTTGTATCTTTTAATAGTTTTACACTTATGCCGTCCAGTCCTGGTGATTTCCTTGAATTAAGTTGGTTTAAAGCGTCAAAAGTCTCCTGGACTGAAATACATGAAAAATGAAACGAACTCTCCGTAGGAGTGACAAATGTCATAGGGTCAACATTAATATTTTGGACATTTTTCGACAGTTTACAACCGATGGATGAAAAATACTGATTAAAACAGTCCGCAATATTTGTGTCTCCAGTTATAACTTGGTCATCTACATTTAGCTGTGTTACATGGGTCGTTTTGGGCTTTTTGTTTAAAAGCTCATTAATAGCCTGCCAACTCTCTTTGCTATTATTTGCATTAGATAACTTCGTTTTAAAGCATTCTTCCTTAGTCTTTTTAATAAGCTTATTTAATTTATTCTTGCATCTTTTGTAGGCCTCGTTATAATTACTCGATGTTAAACGAACACTCTGTCTTTTAAGATAATCCCTATGGTGCATGAAACGCTTTATTTCTTTCGTTAGCCATGGTTTATGCTCACTCTTAACGCGACGCTGTCTAACTGGCAAGTGTTTTTCAGCAATAGTAAGAAAGTTGTTCTTAAATTTATTCCATAGCACATTTGGATTATTCGATGTGGGATCTAGATTAGTATAGTAGCTTAGCTCTTATTTAAATTGGTGGGAGTTGTAATTTTTGAACTGTCGTGTAAATACAATTTTGGTGGCTCTTTAGGAATGCTAATTTTCCGACATATATAAACAAGACTATGGTCACTAATCCCAAGGTCAACAACCCCGGCTTCTAAGGTTTTATCATCGTCGATATGTGTAAGAATTAAATCAATCAGAGACGAAGAATTATAAGTAGTTCTAGTGGAGGTTAGTATGTGTTGCTGCAGTTGGAAAATATCAATAATATCAATTAACTTAGAAGTAGCTTGGTTTTGAGTGTGCTCAATAAAATTACAATTAAGATCCCCGGTTATGATAATATCTTTGTCTTCATTATCATTCAGCTTCAGGAAGTTTTCGAACTTTTGGAATAAATGTGCTTGAGCATCGAGTCTCCCACGATAGCAACGTTAGGACGAGGGTGATGATAAGTTTGCTTCGTTTCTTTGATGCCAGTATGATGCCTTCTGTTATATTTCTCATTTACTTGTTTAGGTTTCGTTGCTGGTTTTGTACGAGCGGTAACAAGGTCATTCTGCGCAACATCCACGTCATCTGCATTACTTTCCTCGATGTTTGGAAAATCTATTACTCACTTGAATGTTCGGATTCAATAATTCTTTTGTTTGTCCAGCGCAATCAACTGAATCCTGTGTCTCGCTTTTTTTACTCGTTTCATCAGTGTAATTCTTAATTGTGGCGTTGGGTTCGTTGTTCGAATCTTCGACCAGTAGTCTCATAGCAGTAATTAGACTTTCTTTTTCTTGCTCGGCACTCTTGGCCTTTCCTTGCAAATCTGCTAATATATAGGTTGAGTTTTTAATTCTCACTTCCAAGTCACTGTTCTCGATTTTAAGGTTCGCATTCTTATCCGTAAGTTTACGATTCTTTTCTTTTAGTATGGCAATTTCGTTTTCTAATTCTTGATAATTTGGCTGTTTACTGTCATTCGTGTTTTCAATGAGCGACTTTATAGCAGCTGTATTGGTAGATACTGCTTTATTTAGTGCTTCTAATTGATTATTTAGATATTCTAAACAATGCGACTCGCTCGATTTCTCCGCCTCGCTCGACTGCTCGAAGCAAACGTTCTCATTATAGCTGACCTGATTCCCTGCTTTGCTTTCTTTAGAATGCGACTCGCTCGATTTCTCGAACTCGCTCGATTGCTCGAAGCTAACATTCTCATTATAGCTGTCTTGATTCCCTGCTTCGCTTTCTTCAACGGCACTAAGTCGTTTTGACACCGAAGCCAACGAAATCAAATTTGCGACTTTTTTGTACGAGTCTTAGTTATCGGTGCGACTCAAGTTTCCAATAAATCGCAGTTTTTAATAACATTTTCGAGTTTAATAACATTTTCGAGTTCGCATGTGTTCGCAATGGTCCAGCAAACAACGAATTTGATTACATTTGGCCATTTCAGCGTTTTATCCCCATTTCAGAGTTTTATCCCCGTTTCAGAGTTTTATCCCCATTTCAGCGTTTTATCCCCATTTCAGCGTTTTATCCCCATTTCAGCGGTTTATCCCCATTTCAGCGTTTTATCCCCATTTCAGCGTTTTATACCCATTTCAGTTTCCGCTTTGAGTTCCGTTTCCGCGATTCGGTTTCAGCGTTTATCCCTACCCGATTCTGGTGCTGGAATCTGGTACGTTGCCATGCTTTTTTTTACGATTTGAATAAAAGATTTTTTTCCGAATTCAGAAAATCCAATATGGCGTCCTACTGGGTCACGTAAATCTTCGAAATATTTGCAATTTTAACATTCGTGTTGCGATATTTTTTCAATAAAATATAAACACACGGCCTCAGTTAAAAGATCCCACTCCTGACACTATGTTTTGCTCTTTAATAATCTCTTAAATAACTATCCAACAATGTCTAAATCAATAATGCATGCTAGATGTTCGTGAATGTTGTTTATATACCGTATCTCCGCTGACGCACCACACCGCGGGCGATACCGGTATAGTAGCTCGTACACATCATAACATCAGGGGCTTACTGATATGAAGAGGAGGCTTGTTCGAATGAATCTTGATCGGAGGATATCTCGGTTAGTCGTTTGTTAATGAATAATGGAATATTACGCAAATCACTAGGTGGGTACATGGTTAGACTTACTATGCACATAAAGAGGTGCATAATAAGTCTAACCACCCACCTAGTGTTCTGCGTAATATTTCATTATCCTTAAACAAACGACTAACCGAGATATCCTCCGATCAAGATTCATTCGAACAACCCTCCCCGTCATATCAGCAAGCCCTTGGCAAAAGAGGCTATAACCCCAAGCTACAGTTTAAACACTCCCTAAACCTAACGACTAACAGCAATATCCCGCGAAGCGGTAAAAGAAAAATTATATGGTATAACCCACCATATATATAGCAAGAACGTTTCGACTAATGTTGGACAATCCTTCTTGAAAATAATTGACGAGGAATTCACCGCTGATCCCCACTACACAAGATATTCAACCGTAATACAGTCAAGATTAGTTACAGCTGTATGCCAAACATCAAGCAGACTATCGATGGACACGACAAAACCACGTTGTCCACAATTTCCAGCACGAATAGCCTTAACATGTGTAGCTAGTACTGTGCCCACTATATCTAACAAATGTATCACTGAATCAGTTGTATATCAAGCCACAGTCACTATTAAGGAAAATACCTCAAATATATAGTTCCCAAACATATGTCGGACTTACAGAGATCTCGTTCAAAACAAGTCTTGCAAATCACAAATCATCATTCAACTCTTTCGACAAACGGAACGCTACTGAAATAAACAAATATGTGTGAGAATTTAAAAATCGAAACATCGATTATGTAATTAATCGGAAACTATTGAAACAAGTAAGCCTTATAACTGGGCTTCAAATCGATGTATTTTGTGCTTATGGGAGAAATATAGCTCACTGCTTGCAGTTTGAGCGCTCTGGCATGGTTTTGATGTCCCACATTCGTGAGGCAGCAAAGGTAACTGTAAATAGCAGTTACTTTCATCCTGTTCATCAAAACTACACTGATGAGGCCCATAAGGCCAAAACAGTATATTTATGAAATATATATTTTATAATTTCCAGTCTTAAATCCGTCTGACCGTGTAGCTCAGTTGGTAGAGCGTCGATCTAGTAATTCGAAGGTCGCGGGTTCAAGACCAAGCGGCCGCGGCAGACAACATCTTTCTGCTTGCGCTGGGTCTGGAAATTACGAAATATACACTCTAGAACATTTTCAACTTATCATATTACGGAGTGTACAATAACACATGCCAAAGTCTAAAGCGGTGTCAAGATTCGTGGTTTGGGTGGACTTTCTCACTCAAAAATATGGCTGGCTTCCATGAGTGGATAAGCCAAAGACATATATTTACCTCCGCCAGGAGGTTATGTAATCATCTGGGTTTGTTACCTCCGCCAGGAGGTTATGTAATCATCTGGGTTTGTATGTGTGTATGTGTGTGTGTGTGTTTGTCTGTGAGCACGATAACTCAAGAAATACCAAACATATCCGTACGAAGTTTTGTGAGTGCATTTCCCATCGGCCAAGGAAGAACTGATTAAAATTTGGTTGAATTTGGTTAAAAATTGAACGAGAAAAGAACAAACGTTTGTCTTGCTGTTCCCAGTCAATTAACAAAAAATATTACTGACTGCGTAATTAGGACGTGTATAATTTATGCACTCAGTGATAAGACAATAATGAGATGATAAACCTCATTAAGCTTCGGCCTTCATTATCTATTGTCTTAGTTGCATTTCACGCGACCGAAATTCAATGTCTAAAACAAGGCTTACGGAGTTACGCATTATTACGTTCAGCAAAGTCCAGTCCATTCAAATTCTAACAACATTAGATTACTTCAATACAGGGTGTATAAAAAAAACGCAACCTCGGAATTTCCCAAGAAATCGACATTGTTTTAAAGACAAAAGATTTTAGCTGCCTGGGAATTTAAAATAGCACAACTGTGAAAATTACTGCACGCGCGAGTGCATAAAGCAAAAATTATGCATTTATTTAATGACACTTAATAAGTTTTTATTTTACAAGTACTGTACAGCACAACAACAGTAATATGTTTTATTAGCAATTCGATTTCAATTCGCGGGGGCCTGAAATCTTTTATGCTTAAGAATTATAAAGTGGATTTCTTAGGAAATTCCAAGGTTGCGTTTCACTTCCGAGTAACGGGCGGAGGTATGCAGTCTCTGAGTGCCCTCTAGTTGGAAAATCGTTTCATATACAAAGAGCTTTGGTGCAATTTTTGCTTGAAGAAATGAGAAGGATTGATTTTCCATGGGAAATGTGAAATGTAAGGCACGTTTGCTTTGAATGTTTAATGTTAATGCATTTTGTTGCCTTAACTTTTTATCTTAAACATGGGCAGTTTTCCTATCCAACGAACCTGTAAGTTTCCTAAATTACCCTGTTTAATTCATGAAAAAATTTTAAATGTAAAGATGAGCAAATTAATCTAAAGACAGAAACAGTGGCGTAGCAAACTCGATAATTGGGGGGGGGGGCACATATTCATATATTCGTGTTCACTGACCTTAAAAACAATTGATTTCAAAAGAAATTAATAAGGCAGAACACGAATATATGAATATGTGCCCCCCCAATTATCGAGTTTGCTACGCCACTGGACAGAAACGAAATTATCCATCAATTTGAACTTATTGTGTTTCATTAAGTAAAAACAGTTTATCGGCGAATGTAGTTTAGCTGAATGAACATGTTAAAAGATTTTGTCAAACATGTCAAATGAATGAACATGTCAAAGCGTTTCAAGTTAAATTTTAAGTTATAACAAAGCTCACAAAATGCAAAATGACATACCTACAGTATATATTTGGGAAATTCATTGTTGTATAGTTAAAACTACTAATCTTTCAATTATTTTGCCGTTTTGTACAAAAAAGTATAAAAAATTAAAATTTTAAAATATCGTGTTGTCATGGCAACAACGTGAGCCTGCGTGAGTAACAACGCACGTGAGCCTGCGTTCAGTGTTGGCTATTTCCGAATACTTCATGTTTAATCAATGTTTAGAAAATATGGGCAAGGTGTTGGTGCATGCATGTATTTCTAGTATAAAGCAAATACACTATAATTGCAATAGCACAAGGCTAAAAAAAAACAAAGTCATGATAACATTACGTACAATACAGTAAGCGGCGGCAGGATAATCACGGCATACAACGAGGTAGCCGCAAATTGAAAATCCCGTAAAGCTGCGACGTACAATTTGGCAATGCACATTAATGGCTATCTGAAAACACAGAAAGCAGCTCCAAACAAGCAATGCGTTAAATTATACCAGAAAGGTCATATGAAAACAGTTAAATAACACCTCTCTGACCCGTAAATGGTTAAATAAATACTACAAATACCCCAATATATCATATAAATATAGTGAAAAAGCACAGACATGCATGCGCCACCAGATATCTGCCTTGTGCATCTTACTCTAAGATAAGTTTACACATATAACGTATACAAAAGGAAAAATGATATTATCTGTAAAACATAATATGCAATCGCGAAGCATGTACAGAATGTGTCAGCATTAGAATTGAATGAACAAGCAAGAGCTAACATTGACATTTTAACATTCATATCTCAGAGTAGTCGCTCTAGCCGAATATGGCGATAAATATGGAACACGCACGTGCAGTAGGAACGGAGACTATGAAAAGATTGCTAAACGCAATGGCTTCGGAAATGTTTGAAAATTATATGGAAAATAACTAAATTCAACCGTACCTCTTTGTTGATCTGAAAACTTCAAAACGTTCCATCTGTTTTTGTTTGTTGAGCTCAAAACTTGTATTTTGAGAGGGTAAACGCGGTTCGATTGAATAAATTACTTGCGGTCTTCAAGGTAAACTTTTGCAGTATGTTGCCCTATACATTTTCAGATAATAGTCACCAATTTCCTCTAATTGCCCTTGGCCATTGCCATTTTCTGAAAAAACGTGAGACTATCTGTAAGATGTTCCATCTTGTTTAAAAAGTCCATCTATGCCGAATTTTGAAAAACGTATATCTTTTGCGGTTTTTGAACAGTTTTTTTACAGATATTTTGTCATTTAATTTTCACTGTGTCTAAATGCCCTCGGCAGTCATTAGTATTCATAATAAAAATAGCTCGTATATCATTTTAGCAGTATAAAAAGATTATCATTGCAACGAGTTTCAGCGAGTTGGTTAGTAATTCAACGGCTAAACCATGAGGCTGGAACGTTCTAGGGGATGCAGGGATCGATTCCGCTTCAAGTTCCTTCAGAATTTTTTTTTAACTTTTAAAGTTGGTTTTCCCGACCAGTTTTAACTCTTCTCAACCTTCATTAGTTAGAGTAGGGCTGGGATTATGATTGGGATCAGTTTATTTTTTTGAATGTGACTTTAACTATAAATGTCAGACTGCTGGGCATCAAATATTTTGAAACTACCACCCGGCTTCCCAGCATGTAGGCACGGGGTTTAATGTCAGTCAAGTTATACTCTCTTACGTGAGTTACGTCCATATACCTTGGTCGGCAACTTGTTATCACTCTTTCTAAATGAAATAATCGCTCATTATCAAGTGTCTATTTTTCTTTGCAGCCATCTTGAGAAATATACCCATTTACGACGACCCCCATGTTCAGGTCCAATATTTCTCGCCATGCCATAACGTATAAGTTTAATGACATTATTTGCAAAGTCCGAGACACACCGGACGCGATTTGGCAACGGTGGGCGATTATTCGATTTTCACTGACCGATGACTTTAATCCTGTTTTAAGTTTTTCAAATCTTTGGAAGCGCTAAAATATTTTGAATTATTTGGTCTACATATCTTTTAAAATTTCTTTCATTGGCTGCCGTTTTATTAACTTTAAAAAAACTGAAAAATCGCACCGCATTGTCTAATCGCGTCCAGTGTGTCTCGGGCCCTCGGCCTTAAAACGTATGCAATTGCGAAGCATGTAAAGAAATTTAAAGAATTGGTCCGTCGTAGAATTAATTGACCGAGCAAGACCTGGCATGCATGATCTACGGGCATGATGCTGTAGGAATTTAATATTATTTTAACGTCATTATCCAGTGAGATTATCTCGCTTTGCTAAGCTACGGCAAGGTACAGTCACGCAACTGTGCAAAGTATACTATATATACATTATTTTATACTAACGCTTGCACGAATCAACGGCGATAAAGAAATGAAAATCAAGCTGAGCTATCGCAATATTGATATGTTACGCTTCTAAGAAGCGTCCCTAACATTGCTGTACAAGATCGTTTATATCGAGAAGACCATCACGACCACGAGAAACTCAGTGAGCAAAACTGCATATTACACACCGAGGGTTAGATATCCCACAAACAATTTGGCACCCATTTTATAAATCGGAAAACAGGGGCTGTCTTGTAAACGCCTAAAGTTCAAATTTGATATTTAAGAGTGCATGTAATGTATAGTCGCTCGTACAAACTGCGATTGAAAAGTCACGAATATGTATCTAAAGTCACATACTTGAACGTCGCAAGTAAAATGAAATTGTCATTGGTATCCATTATATCATTATTCATAAATCATAGATATTTATCAGATACAGAAGATAAAATCTCATACGTCCAATGTCTTAATATGCATTGCAGCCCTCGTGGAATAGACAAGGAAAGACAACCCACATCGCCACTGATAAGTATTGAACATTCCAATCACGTGACTATACTTAGTTTAATTAAACTTGCGCGCAAATAACCTATTTCGCAAAAATAATTTCAATTTAAAATTATTACGGTAAGCAATAAAAACTCTTCTTACTATGGGAATGCGTTTTTGTTTACCTCAAAGAGCGCGAGTTACCACTACAGTCGGTTTCATCCAACGTGATTCGTCAGGTGCCTTTATATATCTATATCCCATCTGCTGAGCTGCATGTTGGCTGCATGTGTTTCCCTAATTGACACAAAAATGAAAAGGAACTTGTGCGACTTCACACGTCTATAGGTCGCTCTTATAATGCAGAAAACATCGAATTTTTATTCGATGGTTTAAAATATCAATAGATTACTGCATGACTGAGAGTGAGGGAAGTACGGCAAAAATCAAACACAGGTCTTGCTGTTTTGACCGAGCGATAGCGCGGTCGATACATCAAGACCGTGAGGTTTGATATTTTCCGGTACGGCCGGAACGGTGGAGGTCTGTAAGATTTTTATTATATGGCATTGTACGTTTGTAAAAAACTAAAAACGTATATTTACGCGAGATGTCAATTGTAAAAAATATATACCGTAGAATATTATAGATGCAAAATGTCAATTGTAAAGTATATATAGAATATTAACAGAGTATCGGGAAGTATTTCAAGAAAATGACAAGACACCTGGTTATTCAATAAAATTTGTTATCTGAAAGAAAAGTATATAAATAAATAACAACAATCTTTCTTTCCTGTTTTTAATATATCATTTAATATTTTAATACTAAAAACTTGGTGAAATATACCTTATATTTTCGACTTTAGCCTACAAAAACGTATTGAGAAAGTTCTTTAACCACAGCCATTCCTGTCTTTTAGGTTTATTCTTCCTCGTTCAGAATATTTTGAAAGATTTTAAGACAATTTTTTTGCTTGAAACACGGTTCTCGTCCCAGATTCGTAGGGCAATAAAAATACCTACCATATTGGACAATACCGGAAAAACATTCCTAGTCAGCAGTCGATCACCAAAACAAGTGCTTGCCATATAATAATTATTGATGTTATTCTGAAATTATATATTGAGAGAAACAAGGTCGGTATTGATATTAAATTCATGGAAAATAGCATTCAAAATCCGAACCCCTAACAGGTATTTCGTAATAATATTGTCATAGAATTTTATTATTTTCCCTACACTTTTTTAGATATCGATGAATGCTTATCGTCTCCATGTAATCTTACAGTTTTTGGCTCATGCAACAACACTCCGGGTTCTTTTATGTGTATCTGTAAGGAAGGTTACATTTTTTATGGTGTGGGATGTGTTGGTATGTAACCTATTGTGTATTATCATTCAAAATAATATCCTTACATCTTTTACTAAAACAAAAATTACATGGTTAGTTGCGGATTATTCAGACATTTCCCCGCTCTCATGATGCTGATTTCATGACGCTAGGATGTTAGACGAATTCCTTAAAGTCTTCCAGGCAGGAAGGCAGGAGGAAGCGTGTGCAGTTTCAGAAATAATTAATAAATTATTCTTTGAAAAATTGCGCTTACACAAAACACATTATAAAAGCAAAACACATCTTAAAATTTTTTTCTTCGTGTTTTTATTGTGTTAAATACACTAGTAGATACCACCCCCACCCAAATAGCCCTCAAAACGACCGGAGTCTAACAAACATGACTCACGGTGTAACTCACACATCAATGTATAAAAGGGATGCCGTCTGTGTTTCAATTATCATATATAGTATATAAACCAAAGTACATTTAATCTTAGAATATAGATAATTCATATAGTTATTAGTTTAAATATATAGTTATGAACACAGTATACGTGCAAAAGGGAAATTAAAGTGCAGAGTAATAGACTAGAAGTTTCGTATCCAATGCAAGAGATAAACAGATGTGACTATGCAACCGCATTGTCAGGGCGCAGTCGAAACTATAGGATCAAAACGCGATGAATTTGCATATTTTTCGCAAGGAAACTTCGCCACATAACCGCATAGACTTCGTCATATATCCACAATAAGTTCTTATTATTTTACTATAAATATAGCCTGTGTATGTTAGTTAGACACATTAGAACTTCAGTCTACTGGAGAGTTAACATCGATTGTGATACAGTGAAGTGTAACTTATCTAATGTCATTGTGACCTGTGAACTTTATTAAAGTTTTTCAAATTTAAACAACACCTGGCGCTCATTAGCCAAGGAGCCTAACGAGCGTGGATCATGGTGTGATTTCCGCGTCACTAACCTTTATTTTTATTATTATTAATATTATTATTATTAATACTATTATTAATACCCGTATCCGGAACTTAAAGTAATGTCTTCCTCACAAGTAATAAATTTGGACTAAATATAAACCATCCATCCGTCAAGTTTACTCAGTGCCAAACAGTCTCTCGTAAAGCCTTAAAAACCTCTCCAAATGATTGTATAAGAAATTTATGGAAATCAACTTGCGACAATACTAACATAAAGTACGACGTCTACACCTCAACAAAGGAAGTTCTTAAAAGTTTCAAATCTGCACAATTTGAACATCACCAAGTTCTCGTTGTCTACACTAAACAACCTATGGCGCAAATCTCAATCCAGCTTGCCAAAAAGCATCTATAACTTCACCATCCGTTACATCAACAACACTCTTCAAACACGCAAAAACCTCAAAAAATGGGGAATAAAGTCAAACTCGTATTGTTCCTCTGCCTGAACCCTGAAACCCTTCTGCATGTAGTCTTAGGATGCCAGTCATACTTTCCACGATTTACTTGGAGACATGACTCCATTCCCAATTTTATCGCAAAAATACTCCAACCTGACCACGACTCCACACTATTTGTCGATCTTCCTGGATACAAGACCCCATCAATAATAACCGGCGACACTTATCGCCCAGATCTGTTTCTTTCCATTTCGAATGATTGTCTGCACATACTGAACTCTCTGTCGGGTATGAATCCATTCTCCGAAATAACGTTGCTCTCAAAAGGGAAAGATACAAGGATCTAATTATGGAGCAGAAAAACCATTTCGAAACAGTCAAATTTATTGATTTGTCTATTAGTACCTTAGATGTTTTCTCAAAAGAATGCAGGAAGTTTATGAAAATGTTGAACGAAGTTGGGCGTGATAGCAAACATCAGAGCTTTTGTGTTAAGAAAATAATGTCCATCGCCATCAGAACAACGTACTATATATCTTGTTGTAGAAACAAGGATTGGACCGATCCGGACTTGATGAACATTTAAGAATTAGCTTTCTCTTAGTTTTATACCTGCAATATAGTTTATCAATAATTAATAGTTCAAGTAGTCAATTATAAATTACCTTAATTAGTGAGATTTATAATCGTATATACATAAAATGTCAAAATAGAGTTTCCATTATTATTATTATTATTATTGAAAAAAAATTTTCAAAAAGAATACCAGTTCACTTCCATCATTTAATTTAGCGCAATGTACATCCTATTTTACCAAAACATTTTCCGCGATTAACCCAAATAAAACATTCAATATTCCTAGTTGGATCCCAAAATTTGCTTCTCCTCAAACACCTTTTAAGCTTGACCCCCCGACCTATCAAGAGATTACAAACGTCATACGTAAAATGAAAATGTCTGGCTCACCATGCCCACTTGATCAGATATCAATAATCTGTTTTAAACGATGTCCGTATCTACGTTCCTACTTGACTGAGATAATCCATGCAGCTTGGTCACGCGGTGTTGTTCCATCTGAATGGAAAAAAGCATGCACAATATTAATTCACAAGAAAGGAGAAACAAACGACCCAGCAAACTTTCGACCAATTACTCTTGAATCCATCCCGCTTAAAGTCTTCACATCATGTCTTCGAAATAAAGCATTTGAATTCCTGTCAGACAATAATTACATAGAACAAAACATCCAGAAAGGTTTCACTCCAAAACTCTCAGGAACACTAGAACATACTGCTCAGATGGCACATATAATTAACACAGCGCGTACCAAGCAACGATCATGTTCATCGATCTTAAAAATGCATTTGGCGAAGTCCATCATAACCTCATTTACGAAGTCCTTGATTATCATCACGTTCCTAATCACATAAAGAACCTTATCTGCAGTCTTTACACTGATTTCCAAACTTCCATCATAACCGAACAGTTTAACACCCCCTTCATTACAGTCGGTCGTGGCGTTCTTCAAGGCAATTGTCTCAGTCCACTTTTATTCAACATGTCATTCAATACTTTCATACAACATATTAAATCTGAAAAATACCGTCAGCTTGGTTTTTGGAAATTAAGTGAAATTGGCATTCCGTGCAATCCTATACATTGGTTTCAGTTTGCAGACGATGCTGCTGTTATCAGTAGCCAAGAGAAAGAAAATCAAATGCTCCTTAATCGTTTTACAATCTGGTGTCAATGGGCTAATATGATTATACGCGTTGACAAATGTTCAACATTTGGCATTAAAAAACACTTAACTAAATCTATCCAGTATTTACCCAAGCTTTTCGTTAATAACGATCTTGTACCCAGAACCAAAATGGGCAAATCTTTCCGTTACTTAGGTCGCTATTTCGATTTCAATATGTCTGATGAGGAACACAGATCGGAATTACTCGACGTGTTTAATGACATCATGAATAAAATTAATGAACTACCTTTACACCCGAAAAATAAAATTCTACTATACAGTCGTTACTTGCTGTCAAAGATATCCTGGGACTTAACTGTTTCTGATATATCTAAGACCTGGATCTGCGAAACGTTAGACAGTATTGCGACAAAATATATCCGAAAATGGCTGGAACTTCCTGTCTCTGCAACCCTTAGCAACGTGTTGCTTCCACAAAACAAATTTGGTCTGAATATTATTCTCCCTTCGACAAAATTTATCCAATGTCAAACTGTCTCTCGATCAGCTTTAAAATACTCACCAAACGTAAATATTAACAATCTATGGGCGGTGACGAGCACCAACAAGAACATACAGTATGACATTTACAAAGACACAAAAGACGTACTTAAGGCAGTTAGAAAAGAAAACGAACAAAGACTTCAAAACCACCTCATTTCGCAAGGTTCTTTCTTTTCCAGTATCATGAATCATTCCACATCCACATTCAACTCTTTATGGTCATCCGTTGAGAGCAAACTTCCGAAAAACATTTTTAACTTCACCATCCGATATATCAATAACACATTTCCAACACGAAAGAACCTATCAAAATGGGGACTATCACGCCGGGTCAGCTCTTCCCAAAAACCGGCCATCTGATATAAACTTTTTCAATATATTTCGGATGGACATGAAACTTGCTACATCAATATAACTTTCCATTCCGAACAATCGTATGTTTTTTGTTTTTGAGATTTAACGGTTTTTGGCGGGAAAATGACGTCACGAAACCTCCAGTTAAAATTTATTTTCAATATCTTAATAGTTTTTAAGCAGAATGTGGAAGATCATGTCATGAAGAGTTCAAAACTGAAAAGAGATTTTAAATATCTTAATCTAATCACGAGATACAGGGGGTTTAGAATCGAATTTTCCACCATTTTGTTACTATTTTTAGATTTTTCACGGTTTTTATAGTGAAATAACTTTGGATTAGGTTTAGATATTTAAAATCTGTTTTCAGTTTTGAACTGTTCATGACATGTTCTTCCAAATTCTGCGACAAAACTATTAAGATGTTGAAAGTAAATTTTAACTGGAGGTTTCGTGACGTCATTTTCCCGCCAAAAACCGTTAAATCTCAAAAATAAAAAACATACGATTGTTCGGAATGGAAAGTTATATTGATGTAGCAAGTTTCATGTCCATCCGAAATATATTGAAAAAGTTTATATCAGATGGCCGATTTTTGGGAAGAGCTGACCCGGCGTGTATCATCAACATCCGATTGCTCTTTCTGCTCCTCACCTGAAACGCTGTTCCATGTGATTGCTGGATGTAAGACATATTTAGACGAAGGCCGGTTTACATGGCGACACGATTCTGTTTTAAATTTCCTTGCATCCACTCTTACTGCTGTGAAAAATTCCACACTTTACGCGGACATTCCTGGTTTTATGAATCCATCTGTTATCACGGGAGATCGTTTACGACCTGACTTTCTGCTGGTGACTGAAAACAGATGTCTATACATCCTCGAGCTTACAGTCGGTTATGAATCCAATCTGCTAGTTAACGCCAATCGTAAGCGTCAAAAGTACCGTGATCTAATCAATGAGCAGGAAGCAGATTATGATAAATTCAAGTTCGTCAATTTATCCTTGAGTACCCTCGGATTTTTTGGCCGATCTTGTAAAAATTTCGATGGCATGCTAAGTAGCCTTAAATGTTATGCCAAGTATAGTAAATACATAAAAAAGCAAATCGTGAACATATGCATACGAACATCATATTACGTATTTTGTAAACGAAACAAGGTGTGGGATAACCCAAAATTAATGTTAATATAATCCTTCTTAAAATAATTATTGTAAAATAAATATATAGTATCAATTCAAGTAGACATTGATAAACTACCTGTAAAGCGAGGTTTATCATTGTAGTTGTATATATCCTAATAATCAATAAATAAAGTTTCCATTATTATTATTATTATTATCAGCAGCATTGAGCAGAGCAGCATTGTTTATACGCGCTCTGTACATGTTGTTCGTTTTATCGCTATTTTCTTACTTGAACAACAGTTTATTAGTCAAAAATATTATAACTATTGGATTTACTCGGATATAAATCATGATTCGTTCAAGCCTTATTGATATGTTGGCAATTTGCGCAGTTTGCTCGTTCTGTGGCAAGGACTTCGTTCCGTTGGGCCGTCATTGATGGCGTTGTAAAGAAAAAATATATCAAGATCGTCCTGCTAACACAGTCAATCAAAATATGCCGGTTATGCATTCTCCTGTCAGAATCTCAAACACCAACGACGTTAAGTGTTATTGTGGTAAATCATGTAAAGGTACGCGGGGGCTTAAAATGCACCAACGTAGTTGTCGTGTAATACATGGTTTAAATGATGAATTGCTTACAGACCTTGAACAGCAATCTACTGAGAACTCGACTGCGAATACCACGCGATGGTCAGAATGCGCAAATTTTCTCGCACTTGTGCGGGCTCATTTTGTCAGTGGAGTTTCACGGCATACTTGAAAAATACCGTGTCATATTTCGTCTCTTCTCATGTAAATAGCAAATTCATGAATAACACTTGAATAAACAGAAATATGTGAATTTGCACGCTAGTCTTTTGAATATAACGATTGCAAAATGTTTCCGTGTGATCTATTAGCAATTTAAAAGATACCTAAACTGTAATACTGCCATATATTTAATCTCGCGTTTGTTATTTGCGCAACAGCAGTTTTGCCGTGGAATTAAAATTGTGTGTCATATGATATTTTGAATAGGCAAATAGCGTTTGAGATATAGCAACATTAGCAAACAAATACACTGAAATCTTGGTTAGCACACCAACGTTTACCACGTTTAATGCAATATTACTAAACTGTAATACTGCCATATATACTTCATCTCGCGTTTGTTATTTGCGCAACAGCAGTTTTGCGGTTTTGCCGTGGAATTAAAATTGCGTGTCATATGATATTTTTAATAGGCAAATAGCATTTGAGATATAGCAACATTATTAGCAAGCAAATACACCGAAATCTTTGTTAGCACGCCAACTTTTACCACGTTTAATGCAATATTAGTCAACTTATAAGAGAACGTGGGACGAATCATGCTGAATTATTCGACTATATAACTCCTAAGACAGACAGACACAATAATCCTTCATAGGTTTATTACAAACTGTAGACATTTGAGACGCTGTCAATGTCTGAGGAGAAGGTATACTTAAAGCCTTTAAATGAACGAGTTCGATGCACAATTTCTGGTCTTTTACCATAATTATCCCATCCTGGTTTTATTCGCTACATTATAAACCTCCTCCACACAATACCCCTTCTTTAAAATACGAAACATTTCGAACACAATTGAGATATGAAATCTCAACAAGAAGCCAATTCAAGATGGCAAATCAGTCAAAAGTGCAAATCAAAACCCATTTTTATACGGCGAGTACGCGCAATTTCTGATGGGTTTCGACACCATAGCTTGAAGCCATGAAGATAAACTTTATTTTAAGTTTAGAGCTTTCTGGTTTAACAACATCACTGCGTCGTAAATAGCAAATTTATCCTTGCCAAGGGTACTTTGAGGCACATTTCGTGATTTGACCAGTGCTCTCACTTTTAAGGAATTATCCTTAAAAATAGGAATTTTGAAGAGTTTTAAGGATTTTTTTAAGGAATTTAGGTTTTTGAGGATTTTTTTAAAGGAATTTCCGAAACATTTTATCCTGGACTAAAACGTTTGACGGAGAATAACCACGCCACGCAAATGAGATTTAAACCTGAAAGTAGCAACACTATATGCACATAATTACATATATTCGTATGTTCTCTATGTCGTAAATGTACATATGGCTGTCTTTCCATTAAAATTCTCAAAAGTTAAATGTCAGTGTATGCTGTTTCTTCTGAAATCTACAGATTTTCTAAGTTCTCAGGGCCCTAGAGACCGGGGGAGGGAGGGTGCAACACCCTTAATATTGCTCATGAACAATTTCAGGTAGATATCCTGTAGATTTTCAGGTAAATTCAGGTAATTCTCATGGCATAAAAAAGTGAACTCTCTAATCTGAATTGGAGTTAACAATCAAACAAACTAAAGACGTTGAGACGTGTTGTGGCAGGGAGACAATTGTGAAATACCCTTTCTGACGATCTGGAGACTCCAAATTTCCAAAATTTTCTCAATTTCCGATTATAAACTGAAAGTAGCAATACTTATCTTCATTGTTAGGCAATACTAAAATATTGGGTATGAAAGACTCTAAAAATGCCATTTCCGACGGTCTAGAAACTTCAAATTTTCAAAAAATACGGTTTTAAAGAACGTTCAGTTCGAAAAATTCAGGTAAATCAGGTGAAAAAAACACTTTTTGCAACTCTGTGATCAGGCCTTGTAGTAATTTTACCAATTTAAGGAATTTTAAGGAAATCTGAGGAATTTTCGAGCTTTTTCTAAGGAATTCGAAAATTTGATTGTGAGAGCACTGGATTTGACACAAAAACGCAGACAATATAGGAAAATGTGCTAAATTCAATATCAGTTTTATGGTCCGTATAAACCCAACTTTGGCCAAAAAGTGGGGTAAATTTTGGCATCTACAAAGCGCAAAATACTACCCAAGGGACACTACCCCTATTATAATTTTGGAAAAGAGGGGTGACGCAATGTAATAATGGGAAACTAAGTCCGAGAAAACGCGCATAATATATTCAAAATAATGCGCGAACTTGCATGAAATTTATTTCTCCTGCTAGTAGCTAAATCTTGCTGCTTGAAATACGACACCACTAAATTCCAAGTGGGAGGAAATTGAGCAAATCTGACCATCGTGTACTTCTACTCATTCTACATTTGAGGAAATTGATGTATTGGAAAATATTGCGAGCGATCAGAATTTTCCAGTGTTGAAGAAAGGGGTAAAGCTTCCCAAAAGCGACGCAGAATGGTCAACGGCTGACAGCTATTTCAAATCTGAATTGTGACTGAATGCGCCAATCAGAATTAAAGATCTAAGCTCAATCATTACGCTAATGAATGATGTTGTCTACAACTATTTCGCTGATAACTTCGGTTATGTTGAGAAGATGCTGGACAAAGAGCTAGTGAATAAGTATAAAGATCAAACAGTAAAAGCCTTAAAGAAATGTCTAAAACAACTAAAGCTATCGAACGCTGATCCTCACGAAATCAAATATGTAGTTCGCACATTGCGTGATAAGTTGCGTAATGCTTGTCAAATCAATACAACTCAAAACCAAAACAAAACGTTCAATCACGACAATTAGATTAGTAGAAATTTCTGGGGTTACGTTAAGAACGTCCTGAATAAGAATACTTGCCTACTTCCATGCTTTCCAATGTCAGAATGCCTAAACTATTTCAAGAAAACTCTATGTTCAATTAACTCAAACAAACTGTTTTGTATTCCAAGCTGGATTCCAAAGTTATCCGATCTTATCGTAAACTTTGACCTTCAACCCCCAACATATCGCCAAGTTACAAACATTATTCGCAGAATGAAAGCTTCTGGATCGTCTTGTCCTCTAGATCAACTTTCAATCATTTGCTTCAAACGTTGTCCATTCTTGCGCACTTATCTAACCGAAGTGATACGTAGCGTCTGGTCTTCGAAATCTGTACCAGCTTAATTTTAAAAAAGCATGTTCTATTCTTATCCACAAAAAAGGCAATACAAGTGACCCCTCCAATTTCCGCCCAATTACTCTAGAAACTATACCACTAAAAGTGTTTACCTCTTGTCTCCGCAATGCTATGTTCTCGTTCCTAACTGCTAATAACTTTATTGAACATCAGATTCAAAAAGGTTTCACTCCCAATCTGTCTGGCACTCTGGAACACACTGCTCAAATGACAAATATTATCAACCAAGTGAGAATAAAGCAGCGCTCTGTTGTCATCACCCTTCTCGATCTCAAGAATGCTTTTGGTGAAGTGCATCATAATCTAATTCAGTCTGTCCTCGACTATCATCACATTCCCAAAGACGTTAGTGAAATAATAAAGAGCTTGTATACGGACTTCGATACTGCATTTATGACATCAGAATTCTCCACCCCATTTATAACTGTCGGTCGTGGAGTTTTTCAAGGAGACTGTCTTAGTCCTCTAATTTTTAATATATGCATCAATACCTTTATTCAACATATAAAAGCTGACAAATACCGGCAATTTGGTTTCATTACAAATTTTTTAAACCCAGTCCATTGGTTCCAGTTCGCTGATGATGCTGCGGTAATAAGCGGTCAAGATTCAGAAAATCAACATCTTTTAAATCGATTCTTGATCTGGTGCCAGTGGTCTAACATGATTGTCAGGGTTGATAAGTGTTCAACATTTGGGATCAGGAAAAGTCTGACAAAATCTATCCAACATTTACCTGAACTTCTGATTAACAATGAATTGATACCTGCCACTAAATTGGAGAGTCGTTTCGATACTTGGGGAAATATTTTGACTTCAGTATGTCCGAAAAAAACACAAACAAAAGCTAATCACTCTCATGGACGACATTATGTCTGAAATTGATCTCAAACCTTTGCACCCAAAAAATAAACTTTTGCTTTATAGTCGTTACCTCCTATCCAAACTTTCCTGGCATTTCACTGTAACCACCTTATCAAAAACCTGGGTCTCTGAAAATATGGAATCTGTGGTGAACAAGTACGTACGTAAATGGCTTGAAATACGTATATCAGGAACTCTGTCTAACGTCTACATTACCAGTAACAAGTTTGGTCTAAATATCTACCCGCCGTCAATTAAGTTTGTTCAGTGCCAAACAGTTGCTCGTAACGCCTTAAAGACCTCTCCAAATCAACCCATAAAAGACCTCTGGAAATCAAAAATCTGAAAGCAAAAACATTCAGTACGACGTCTACACCTCGACAAAGGAAGTCCTTAAAACTTTTACCTTCGGACAAGAAGACAAACTGCAGAATTATCTAATTTTGCAAGGCTTCTTCTTCTCAAATGTCATTAAGTTTTCACTGTCGAAATTAAACGGCATATGGTCTAAATCCCAATCAAACCTCCCAAAGAACATCTATAACTTCACCATTTGTCACATTAATAACTTACTTCCAACTCGTAAAAACCTTACTAAATGGGGAACATTGTCCAACTCTGATTGCTCCTTCTGCTTAAACCCTGAAACCCTTTTACACGTAGTTGCTGGATGTCAAACGTACCTCCCACGATTTACATGGAGACATGATTCTGTTCTGAATTTCATAGCACAAACGCTACAACCTGTAAACAACTCCAATCTTTTCGTCGATCTTCCTGGTTGTAAAAGCCCATCAATTGTAACTGGTGACACATTCCGCCCAGACCCACTTCTATCTATCAACTCGGATTGTCTCTATATCCTTGAACGTTCTGTTGGTTATGAGTCTAATCTACAAACAAATGTTGATCGGAAAAGAATAAGATACGAAGATCTCATTACACAGCAAAAGAAACAATTTAAGTACGTAAAATTTGTAAATTTGTCAATTAGTTCTTTAGACGTTTTCTCAAAAGAATGTCATTCCTTTTTAGATATGATAAATGATCTAGGTCTTGATAAAAGACACCAATATTTCGCTGTCAGGAAAATTATGTCTATCGCGATTAGGACAACATATTATATATTTTGTTGCAGAGATAAAGACTGGTTAAATCCGGAATTACTGAACATTTAAGGATACTCATTATTAATATATAAATATTAAGTAGGTTCAAGTAGTCAATTATAAATTACCTAAATTAGCGAGATTTATAATTGTATATATACGTATATAATTTCAATAAAGTTTCCATTATTATTATTATTATTATTATTATTATTATTATTATTATTATTATTATTATTATTATTATTATTATTATTATTATTATTATTATTATTATTATTATTACCATTGTAACCTTTATGCCGACCTTCCTGGCTATATCAGTCCATCTGTTATCACCGGAGATGAATTGCGCCCTGATCTTTTGATAACACTTGAAAACAAATATATTTATATACTTGAACTTACCGTCGGATTTGAATCTAATCTCCTCACTAATGCAACTCGAAAAAGACAAAAATATCAAGATCTAATTAACGAACAGCTCAAAAATTATAAAAAAGTGAAATTTGTAAATTTATCGATTAGCTCATTAGGAGTTTTCAGCCACCCGTCGCTAGATTTCACCGAAATGCTGAAGGATCTAAAGTTTGATGAACAATGTAGAAAGTACTATGTTCGGAAATTATTAACATATGTATCAGGTCCTCGTATTATATATTCTGTAAGCGTAACAAAGAATGGGATAACCCACAACTAATGTCATACTAATATTGTTATTATGTGGAGCGTTAATTCAAGTAGACACTGGTAAACTACCTGTAAAGAGAGGTTTATCATTGTAGTGTGTATATATATATTATTGAAAGTAATAAAGTTTCCATTATTATTATTATTATTATTATTATTATTATCAGACATTGAGCAGTGGCGTATATACGTTCTCTGTACATGTCCTTAGTTTCAACGAAAAACTTTACTTGAATTGATCGTACTAACGTCACATTTTGTTTTTTTATACTTCTAATTAATCAATGATTCGTGTAAACTTGCTTGCATTGTTTTCAACGGTAATAATATGTGGATTTTGCGGCAAGGATTTTGTATCGTTGGGCCGTCACTCGTGACGCTGTAAAAGCAAAGTGGAATATGGGCAAGAAAACAGAGTAAATGCTATTCCTGCTATAGAAATCCCTTCACAAGAATGTTTGCCGGTTAAATCTTACAAGGCTGTTAAATGTTGCTGCGGTAAAGTCTGCAAAGAGGCGCGCGGTCTTAAAATGCACCAACGAAGCTGCAGAGTTATTGATGACCTTGAAGACGAGCTACAACAACAAATGTCGGAAGTATTAACTGAACATCAGAATGAGGATAATGTAGACTCAGTTAACCCTGAAATATCACATATAAACACGCAAGTAAACTTCCCTGACTTAAAAAAAGGAATCAAACTACCCAAATCGCCATTGCAATGGTCAACTGCTAACGACTTTTTCAAACAAACATTTTCAAATCTTCCAATCACACCGCGGGATTTAAATAATAACATTAACACCATGGCAACAGTCGTCTATAACTATTTCAGCGAGAATTTTGGATATGTCAACAATCGTAATGATGTTCAATACCAAAGAAAATATGAAAGCTTTTTAACTAAAGATTTGAAAAAATCATTAAAGAAATTAAAATTAGAAAACGGAGATATGTTGGAGATCAAGTTTGTTGCAAAGAAACTGCGCAACCTTCTTAATAAGTCTAATACTACGGACCCAAATAACACTGACAGTCATGCGTCTGCAAATATTAATCACGACAGTCTGATTGGTAAAAGTTTCTGTGGTTTCGTTAAACGATTTTTCAAAAAGAATACTAGCTCATTTCCATCATTTAACCTAGCAGAATGTACATCATATTTTACCAAAACATTGTCCGCGATTAGCCCAAATAAAACATTCAACATCCCCATTTGGATCCCAAAATTTGCATCTCCTCAGACGCCTTTTAATCTTGACCCCCCGACCTATCAAGAGATTACAAATGTCATCCGTAAAATGAAACCGTCTGGCTCACCATGTCCACTTGATCAAATATCTATCATCTGTTTTAAACGCTGTCCTTATTTACGCTCGTACTTAACTGAGATAATCCACGCAGCCTGGTCTTGCGGTGTTGTCCCGTCTTAATGGAAGAAAGCATGCACGATTCTAATTCATAAGAAAGGAGAAACAGCAAACCCAGCGAACTTTCGACCCATTACTCTCGAATCTGTCCCACTCAAAGTTTTCACATCATGTCTTCGCAACAGGACATTTCAGTTTCTTGCAGAAAACAATTACATTGAACAG